AACTCGACAATCTATAAAAGTTGAATTTACAACATCTTACTTATAAGTAAAAAAAAATATATATATATATATATATATATTAATTACAAGTGAAGAAAAATAATTAAAATAAAATTGTATGCCCCTACCTTGATGAAGTACCTTAAAGCAAAAGCATTTTGGGTAGTGGGACGCCGCAAGTGTATATGCCGCAAGGTTGGTGGATGTTTACGTGTTCCATAGGCACGCAGCAATTTCTAGCTAACAAGGTACAAAAGGAAGCTTACTGTTAAAATTGAGGCTCTAATTTTCCATGCTTTTCCCCCACCTGTTGGAAAGCGAGGCCAAGAAAATAAATCATAGATGTGGTATTACAGTTACGACCGGGTCAGATAACACTTGATGAAGGAAAATGTTGTTTTCTCAACCTACACAGCACATGATCTGGCCACACTACACCCACACATTTGAAAAGAAGAAAAACTAAATTACAGTTTGCATTATTAATTAAATTTGCATGCAATTGCAATTTTATATATCATTTTTAAAATTTTGCTTTGTTAAAATTGTAATTAATTGCAATGTCATACATCCATTACAAATTTGTTAAAGGAATTGTTAGTAATGATGTGGCAAGATAAATATAATTTTAGAAAATAATTATTTGAAGTAATTAAGGAGAAACTACACATAGAGCCAAATTACAAGACCATAAAGAGAGACAAAGATTTTGGTTTATTTCATATAAAAAAGGCAATTTATTTATGTGATAGGTAATGTCATTATTATTTTTTATTGTCTTTGCATTTACAATTTTACTCCCCTATTTTTTGAAAGATGGATCTCTCATTCTCTCTCCTCTTCTTTCTTCGACACTTCTCTACTTCTTCCTACCCTTCTCTTTCTTTCTCTCCTCCTCAGTTCTTCGTCCTTCTCTCTCCTACTTCTGCTTCATACTTCTCTCTCTCTCTCTCTCTCTCTCTCTTCTTCTTCTTCTTCTTTGTGTTGTTCTCTAGATTTATGAGTTTTTTTTTTCTTTTATGAGGACGGTTGAGATTTTTAGTTTTTGGTTTATTTATTTGGGTATTTTTTAAGGTAATTGATTTTGAAGTTTTGATAATTTGGATGTATGAATTTTGAAATTAATCTTGCTGAATTGTTGAAATTTTGAAATAAACTTAAATTACAATTAAGTAACTGCGAACTAACACAAAATAGCGTAAAACACAATTAATTTAACTAAAAAACATAATACAATGATTAGAAATGAATAGTATAAATGTATGGAAACCATGAGTTATCAATATACCAACAAGGGCAAACCTTAAAAGAGAGCTAAGCTAAGAAAAATATCATGATACTTTAAAATATGGTCATGTGACATTGTATATTTAGCTTAAGTGCTGAGTTTAATTATAAATCAAAGATAAGCCTCTCCACTTGCACATTAGCATACGTGCGTAATGTTAGGTATTATATATAATTAACATTGTAAAAGTCTTTGGGCAGAACAAGTGAATTTGTTCACGTCCCCACCAAAATGTACACAGGACAAACTGTTAGTGGGTACAGACCACTAAAATGTGCTGCTTCCGTGAAGTCTCGTCCCCAACTTTGGGAGTTAATGCATTTTCCATCAATCAGTATTTGTTTAGTCCTATAGTAAGAAATAAAAATTTCAAAGCCCTCTAGGTGTGTTTGTATATGCATAGAGAAGAAATTCTTAGGTACGTCTAACTCTTAAGTGAGGTATGTAAATTTCATTTTACTGTGAGACAATTGCTCTATGCGAAAATCGTACCAAATAATCTTTTTATAGAGGCATAGTATGCCCTAATGTACGTACGCAAGGAAATCAATGTTGTATATACGTATCATTTAAGATAAAATATATTCATAGGTTTGAATGAGCGTTACGTGTATATGAGAGCTTCATCCTCAACACATTGCCATCAGCCTAAGCAAGACCATAATTTTAACCATTCATCATCTGTCTTATCATGTCATTATCCTGTGCTAATTAAATTGATAATGCTCATGTGGGGATATACTTTAACGAAATACAGAAAAAATCCAGCACCGTTGGGACCCATCTCACCTTTGAATTCATGATTAGGTCTCCGCCGCCAGGCCCGCCACACCAACTCCGCCTCCGTGGAAACGTGTAGAAAGAAAGTCACATGAAATCAGCCAGAAATTTAGAAGTCGCATGAAATTAGAAATGTTTAAATTAAGACAGTGCATTGAACACAGTTTCATTTCCATAGCTTTCATCAGAGATGATTAATCCTTTCAACAGTTTCTCATTTAATTGTTAATTATGTTTAAGAATGGAGATAATAGGGTATTATCTGTAGCATGCAAACTATAAATTTAGAGAGTCTTAGCGAAACTTTCATAATACTGTTCACTTTTAACAGTAAAGATTTTTGTACTTTAAAAAATCACTTTTTGTACTATTCACTTACAATAATTTTTTGTCATTTTTGTTAAAATTTTAAGTTTTCAAACTTTTTAAATTAGTTTTCCTATGAATTTGTACATGAAACTGTAAAATATTTAAAACATTAATTTAATGAAAGAAATTGAAATCTCTGTTCTGCAATCAATATAAAAATTACAGATTCTGTTTTCCAACTATAAATTAATTTAAAAATCAAAATTCAAAAAGTATATAAATATATATATATATACATATAAAATAATGCACCAACTTGACCGGAGAGACCATAGATTCTTTATAAGTTTTCGCTGTTGGTTGGGTCGTCCCACTGAAATGGAATCAGACTGAACGCATTTGGCAGATTCTGATAAGAATTTTCAACAGTCTGTATCTAAATTAGATTTTTTGGTTACTTTAACAACACATGCAGAAAAATTAGGTTCCAAGCTAGCTAAATGGCTAGCCGTTTTAACTTTGTAAATATTAACTCACAAAATTTACCTAAAGGATAGAAGACGTTAAATTTAGAATAAACAATATCAAATATTTTAACTTAACCTGAAATATCTATTATTATTAGAAACAAGGCTAGCTGAATTAACATTTAAATTATTTAGATTATAAAATACAAAAATTTAGCTAATATTATTGGAGATGCACTCCCGACCACACACGAAGAAAAATCAAGGACAAAAGAAACAAAATAGTTACGATAATTAGGATTTTCTACTTAACTATTAGCTCACGTTCAAGGTGGTTACGAAATTGGGAAGAGTTCTTTGTGTACATTTGCACGAGTTTCAAAGCGAAAGTATATTTTTCCCTAAACTACTATTTACTTGCCTTGCAGATGTGAGTTGTTCGTTACTAGATCGCCCTGCGATGTTATAATTATGGGTGGTACTATTTACATAATTTTTTATACACAAATACATTTTTTTATGTCGGACGAATGAATTCAATAAAAAATGAACAAAATCAAGAAGAAAATGTGTGGAAGATATATATAAAAAAAAAAAAAGAAAAAAAAAAAAGATGTGTGAATAACACCTTGCAATCTCATAAGTTGTTTCAAAATAGATTGCCGGCATGGATTGGAGAAAGTTTGATGAGTTTGGAATTCGCAAACCATGAAATATATGAGTAATGTTAGAGTGATTAGATTTCTAAACTAAATTTTGTAAATCAAAGGATGTGGACGTTGATGATTGGATTATTATTTAAGTGTTAATTAATGTGTTTAATTATTATTAATGACACATCATTTGGTTTGTAAAATTGGTTTAAAAATTTAGTGTCTCTATCATTACTCGAAATATATATATAGTCATTATTACGTATTGTGCTCTTACTACATATTTGGACTGATTTCAAAATCCACCACAAGGTTTTACATTTCTCACATTGTCCTAAGGTTTTAAAATTATATTAGTTTACATTATTTACTTAATGAATTATTTTGAGTCTTCATTAAATTGAAGACATTTTGCGCATGAAATTTGTATTGCTATGATATTGACATGTCAGCCACATTTGCATCAAATTAACTTTAAATACTTAATGGATATTTAGACGTTCATATATCCACAAAGTGTAAATTGATACGATTGTAAAACCTTAAGAGATAATATGAGAAAATTGAAATCTAACTTCTCATTTTAAATATTACTTCAAACTTTAAAGATGCAAATTGTAATTAGCCAAATAATTTTATTATTGACATAAACGTCATGAATCATGATAACCATACATTCAAGTATTTCCCCTCAAGGATAGACATGCTTTCTTTTTCTAGAGAAAAACCCTCATAACTCATTTCATTTAACTTGCTTCCGAATCAAGTAGATTTGAAATACGTGCAGTCAATGGTAAATTTAAATTGGTTCCCAAAATTCCAAAAATTACCTTCCTTGCTCGATTTCACCATCGGGCCAGCATACCGTTGCATGCTCAAAATTCATGACTGTAGTGGCAAAAACCGATAAGGGAAAAGACAACCCAAAAAAAAAGCAAGACCCTAAAAATGAAGGGTTATTAAAACTGAAACACGAATCGACGCCCTTTGGAGTTTCGTGCGTCCCCTCTTTCCTGTTGGACACAGCTCGCACCAGAATAACCTCCCGCAACAAGTGGGGCACAAACACAAATGCCATGCAGAGGAATCCTAATTTTTAATTAAGAAATATAAATAAAATTAAACGAAAATAGTGAATATAAGTTTAATATATCCGATTCAGTTTTATATAGGGAACTTTAACGAAAAACTCCAAGTATTGTTCACTTTAACGAAAAATCATATTTTTACACTAAAAAATCAATTCTGATACTATTCACTTTACCCTTTATTTTATGCTTATCGTTAAAACTTAAAATTTTCAAATATTTTTTATTAGTTTTCATTTTTATATATGGGCCGAGTCTTAGAATCAGCACGGCCCAATCTAATTAAATTAAAATTTTAAGATCCGACTCAAGGGGCATTTGGAATCCGCCACGCCTATAAAATCCCCCCAACCCTGGCATTTCGTAGCCACAACACAAAGAAAGCAAAAGAGAAAGAGATCTAGGGTCACAACAAAGCAAGTCCAGAGAGCGACAGAGAGAGAGAGAGAGGCAGAAATATGGGTGGTTGGGCAATTGCAGTTCACGGCGGCGCGGGTGTCGACCCGAATCTCCCCATGGAGCGTCAAAAGCAGGCCAAACAACTCCTCACCCGCTGCCTCAATCTCGGCATCTCTGCTCTCCGCTCCGATCTAGCCGCCATTGATGTTGTCGAGCTTGTCGTACGTCTCCTTCCTCCCCCTCTACATTGCCAACCCCTACAAAATGTTATTCATGTTTTCGTTATGAGTTCGATGGATGTGATCTACAAAAACATAGTCTAAAAAGATGGTCTAACTAACATTTTCCTTTCGTCAAATCACAAGACGATATTCTGAACTATCCTAATCTATGAATATGAGATCAAACTTGAACTTAATTGACCTAATTTGTATCTGCATTTTATTTCGTATTGTTGTTATTATCGATTTTAATCCCTTTGATTTATCATTCCATGACCAAACAAACCTTAATGATTTTCCAAACACATTGAAAACTTTCCTGTTATGTTTTCCGAGTTTTTAGTTTGCAATTTGCATGGGGTATTTTGGACCACTCCTTTATTTTTTAACCTAAGCTGGCGCTGCATCATGCATGCTGGAATTTTCTTACTAGTTTAAACTCCTCAAAACCTTTTTTTATTTTTACAAAATATTTCTTTTATTATAAATGTTTGTGATTTGTTATGTTGTCTAAAAATAGGTTAGGGAATTGGAAACCGATCCTTGCTTCAACTCTGGCCGTGGATCAGCTCTCACAGCGAAAGGGACGGTTGAGATGGAAGCCAGCATCATGGATGGACCCAAAAGACGATGCGGCGCCGTTTCGGGATTAACTACGGTTAAGAATCCCGTTTCACTCGCCCGCCTCGTCATGGACAAATCACCTCACTCCTACCTCGCCTTCTCCGGCGCCGAAGACTTCGCCCGACAACAGGTTTGTTATGCTTTCACTTTCACCCCTTTCAACAAGGATTGTATACCCTTCCACTTTCGATGTCCTTTCGTGCTTTTCTGTTTGTATGGTTACGGTTACCATGTCAACATTTTATATTATTATTTATTTTTATCTTATTATCTTTATAAAAAAATAATATAAAATATTAATATGACTTAATCGTGATCACACAAAATAAAAAAACACAAAAAAGCACCGACAATCCCAGTCCCTTTCATTGTCCATAGTAATATTTAATACCCAAATGAAGAATCAAAATCCACTTTGGATTCTGTAAATAAATAAATACTTACTAAAAAATAATAAAATAAAAGTATAAACTCCTGTCTTTTTCAGGAGGTGCATGAATCTAGTGCAAAGATTCCACCTTACTGTTTATGGTGTCACACGTCTAATTAAATATTATTTTAACAGATGTCGAAATTTGGCAATTTAATAGTAATAATAGTACTGTTTCATATATTTTTTTGTTACTATTTTGTATTTATTTTTCTGGACAAAGGTCTCGTTTTTATATATTATTTTTTTCAGGAGGTGCAGTGCAAAGATTCCACCTTACTGTTTATAGTGCCACACGTATAATTAAATATTATTTTAACAGATGTCGAAATTTGGCAATTTAATGGTAATAATAGTTCCACCTTACTGTTTATGGTGCCACATGTCTAATTAAATATTATTTTAACAGATGTTGAAATTTGGCAATTTAGTAGTAATAATAGTACTGTTTCATATATTTTTTTTTGTTACTATTTTGTATTTATTTCTCTGGACAAAGGTCTCGTTTTTATATATTAATTTTTTCAGGAGGTGCAGTGCAAAGATTTCACCTTACTGTTTATAGTGCCACACGTATAATTAAATATTATTTTAACAGATGTCGAAATTTGGCAATTTAATAGTAATAATAGTACTGTTTCATATTTTTTATGTTACTATTTTGTATTTATTTTTCTGGACAAAGATCTCGTTTTTATATATTATTTTTGTGTGGAATGTGAATGGGGTTTTGTGTGATATTTTAGGGCGTTGAGCTCGTGGACAATGAGTATTTCATCACAGAGGAAAATGTGGGGATGCTCAAATTGGCAAAGGAGGCCAACACAATTTTGGTAAGTATATTTTGATTTCATCAGTGGGTAATTAATTAATGGACTAAGTACTTAGTACGTTTTGTGTCATATATTAATTAATTTTGGTCATGTTCAGTTTGATTACAGAATTCCGTTAGGATCGGAGAGCTGCAGTGCAGGTGTGGAGAGCCCGCTGCACATGAACGGGCTCCCCATTAGTGTTTATGCACCCGAGACCGTTGGTTGTGTGGTGGTGGATAACCAAGGGCGTTGCGCTGCAGCTACATCCACCGGTGGGCTAATGAACAAAATGACTGGCCGAATCGGTGACTCACCACTCATTGGTGCCGGTACCTACGCGTGTGACCTTTGTGGGGTCTCGTGCACAGGTGAGGGCGAGGCAATCATACGCGGGACACTCGCGCGTGAGGTGGCGGCAGTGATGGAGTACAAGGGCCTAGGCCTACAAGATGCAGTGGATTTTGTGATCAAAGAGAGGCTTGATGATGGCAAGGCCGGACTCATAGCTGTGTCTAGCAAAGGTGAAGTAGCTTATGGGTTTAATTGTATGGGGATGTTTAGGGGGTGTGCCACTGAGGATGGGTTCATGGAGGTTGGGATTTGGGAGTAGAGAGGGACTTTGAAAGTGAAAAATCTTTCTGGGTTTGCTTTGTTTGGGGCCTTAGATACTAAATGATCTGTATCTAGGCTTTGCCTTTGATGTTTGTGTAGGCTAACATAAGAAATGCATGCCTTTCATTAGGCGTAATTTTTAGTTGAATTGGCATGTATTTTTCGACTATCATTGAATAAAAAGCCAGAGCATTTTCATAATCTCCGTTTATTTTTTTCAAAAGACCACAACATATATTCTAGATCATTCTAGTTTACGAAGACAGAATTACAATTTGAGAATAAAGGATGGACTGCATTAGTACTGTCCTGATGAACTGGCACAACACAACTTTTCATAATCTTTAGCTGTCTATTGGATGAAATAAATGTAACTAATTTTAGGTAGGGAATCCGAAAATTCTTGTTGTGACAAGTAGCCAAATGAATTCAGATTCTTGTAGCCACTTTTTATGGTGAACGTGCCGACGGTTTGTGTTTGTCAGATTGCTGATTGTGACTCATGACATGTTTGATACCATAGCCTGATAAGGTGATAGGAGTACCTCAAACAAGTTGGCCTGAATTCCTCATGTGAAGAAAATGAAAAGGCACAAAGGGATCCATTGCTGGCCCATATTGATTGCACTAGATATCCATCCATACACAACAAACTTAAATTGGGACAATTTGGGACCCGATCAAACAAAACGTTGGGACAATTTGGGAATAATTTGGTCCTTTGGACAATGGTTAGTTGGGCATAGCTTGGCTGGATTTTTCTTGCCCCTTTATAGATGCTCTTGGGAAGAAATTACTATTCGACTTATTAACGTGTAAAGATTTCAGAGAGATGCATCAACTACCACATGCACAACACCGCATATGTGAGAACCATAGACTAGATGGCACTGAGGTAAAAGTAGGGTCTAGTTAAGTGGCCCAAACTCGTCTCCTGCCGACTCTGGTGGAAGGAGTTAAAACTTGAGAGTCAACACTCTTACGTTTGTGGCTTTTGTCCTCTTATCACATTGGAATCTCCAAATAGTGTTAAAGGTTTCAAAGAGACGGTCTAAACGGTTAACACTTATATTTTCTCAAACTTAAATACCTATTCGTGCAGCATGGTGGTGTTTTATCTTAAGGAATGCAATCATACAATTATGAATTGTAAATTATTTTGTCAAACTCTCGAGGTGGATTTTAAATAAAAAGGAGGTGGGCCATTGCCAATATGGAGGGCACAACATCAGGGAGGATGTGAAGCAATTGAATTGGGCAAACGCTTATGCCATCTTTACTGGAGCAGTAGTGACAATTGATTTGCCTAATAACCTGTGTTGCATAATCATGTCAATCTTCCAAAAAAATTTGGTCTTGTATTATTTCATATGACTGCCCATTTGTAACATTAGCATACTTCCAATTGTTTGGGGACACGGCTTTTGATTGCCGTAATTAATTTCGCATATTGCATTGATATTGTTGGAAACTTAGCCAAACGTTCAACATCAGGTTGGACATGGCCAATACACATTTAGGTGTAGGGTGTTCGTCAAAATATCGTTGCTATAGAGAGAACAACCACTTAACAAGGCCATTTACGTCAATTTTTCTTGAGTACCTACAAATACTCAATGTCGACACATATTTGATTGTTGAATTTAATATAAACGATCATCGATGGAACAATAGTATTTGATGCATAATTTCTAAAAAAAAATTGCTACAAAAGAAAACCATATAGGTCACCAGGTCTTATCATGTCATATGGAACAGACAACGTGCCTAACTAAGCAAGAACAAACAAATACAAATATACATGCACTTGAACTCCATTTCGTAATACAGTTTTTATTTACTTCCAAAAACAAATAAACGTTACATAATATCATGTCATCATGCACCAGCTGCTCTCACTTATTCAGCGGTCTTGTCATCTTTGAATTTTTTTGGCACCGCCTGAGATGGCATCCTTTGCTGATTGAATGGTGTTTGCTACGGCAGCAGCTGCACCTGCAAAAGGGTGAACGCCCTCACTCTTTGCTCCGCCGTCTCGAATCTCATGAACCACTTCCAACGTCCTCCTTCTTCGCTTCTTTGTCTTCTCCCGCTGGGGATCGGTAATCTACTGTCTGCACCTTGATATCCTCGTTTGTTTCTCCGGTTGATCCCTGCAAAATTAACAGTTACTCTTAATATTAAAAAACCAGAATTACTACAATTAATCCAAACACTAACAAAACATATAGCACAAATAAAAGGAAGAATAAAATTCTTTACTTTCGAAGTATTCATTTCGCAAAATTCAACTCAGACAATTCTAAAACTTCCACTTACAAATTATACAAAATTTGTTGGCCAAACCAGTACATATATAGTATGGTTAGGAGAAGGCCTACCAGGAACTGACGCGTATCACGTGAGCCGTACGTTTCGTGTCCACGTATCTCATAGTGTAGCAGGTCAGCACATATTTCTTATGCTTTTTTTATTTTAGTAATGTCGGTAAGCAGGACACTGTAACGGAGGCTCACAATATATTTTCTGAAAAGCATACGAATATATGGGCCAGGGGAAATATTGCACCGGCCGGCTGCTATAATTTCAATTTGGACATAACACAACTTTGAAAAGCTCTCAGACCTCAATTGTCAATGAGTCATCTAGTTCCCTCTTTCTGCACTAGGAGAGGGAAGGGATTTGGGATGGCTCATAGGTACCCCTTTTATCCTTCTGCAGACATTAGGAGGATTTTGTGATTGTCACAAAAAAGGTTAGTGTAATCGATAAATGGACTGGGATCACCTCCGGATCCCATCAAACAAAGAACATGCACATGTTACATATTCTCATATCTAATGGTCTCACTCATTTGGTGATCTTATATTTGTCACTTCCAGAAATGGCATCCCTGGCTGACTTGAGGGTATGTGCAACTGCAGCAGTTGCATCAAGATTAACAAAGTCACTACCTCCTCCATCTCGAATCTCATGAACCACCTCAACCTTCTCCTTCTTGGGCTGTTTGTCTTCCCCTGCCGGCGATCGATAATCTACTGTCTTTACTTTGATCTCCACTGCTCCTTGCTCGTTTGTTTCTTCACCTCCCTAGCAAAAACACAATTCAAAACAAAACATAAAGTTACAACAATTAATCCAAATAAATATTACTTTAAAAAATCCAAATAAATATTAAACATAGTGGTACAAAAGAAAATGAACTTAGACAACTCTGAAACTTGCACCTCCAAATAAATAATGATCAGGCGGGCAAGGCATGGATGATAGATATAGTTCATTCGTCGAGGACAAGCTATAGTGTAGAAATAAGGGGGCACCAGGGCCGAGCACGTATCATGTGAACTGTTCGTTTTGTGTCCACGTATCTCATTGTGTAGGTCATTGTGGCTAAATCCACCATGAATTTTTGTCAAATCATAAAACCAATGGAAGTCTTGCACCTGTTATATGTCCCCAAGAACCCAAGGGCTAAACGCAATTAGTGACTCAACTAGTCTAGTTGCCTCTATCTACAATAGGAGACGGAAGGGAATTCGATGAGACATAGGTACTTTAGGGTGTGTTTGGCTGAGCAATTTTCACATTGAAGGGTATTTCGGCAAAATAAAAAAGAAATGGATTACAAAAAAGTAGACAAGAGGAATTAGAAAATGCATCGTATGAGCGTTGCAAAATCATGTGTGAGGCATTTCTAATCCTTCATGTATAACTTTTTGTGACCTAGGAGTTTGTTGGGTAGTAGTGTTGATGAAGTTGTGAGCTTTGAGAAATTTAGGTATCGTTTGGTATGCAGACGGGACGGGACGGAACGAGATGGGACGGGACGGGACAGGACGGAACGGAACGGAGCGGGAGCAAAGATGCCCTCGGATGGAAACAAGGAGGAAGAAGAAGGAGACGGAGAGGTTATAATTTTGTGTTCCACGAATGTGGAACGAGTCGTTCCAGGGGGGGTGAGGTGGAACGAAAATTCATCCAAAACTCGTCCCGTGGAACAGCTCGTTCCACCCGTTTAAGGCGCACCAAACGTGGGACGAAACGCCTCGTCTCACTCTGTTCCGTCCTGTCCCACGTACCAAACGGTTAAGGAATAAGTCTTCCACTTCTCTTTTTAAAATAATCTTCCAAATATTTTTTTTAAGCTGCGTCATAGTATTATTTTAGTAACATTTTAATAAAAGAATGTTATTAAAAAATTAACTAAAAGTATTATTTTAGTAACATTTTGAGAAATTTAAGGATTGACTTTTTACACTAAAAAGTCAATCCTGGTACTATTCACTTTACCCTTTATTTTGTCCTTATCGTTAAAACTCAAAGTTTTCAAACCCTTTTCATTAGTTTTCCTTTTAAAAAATTCATCTCCAAATGATATTGTAAAAGGCTATCTATTATTGCAAAATGAACAATCACTCTTTAAATTTAGAGAGCAACTATTCACTTGCTAAATATTAAAAAAATAATAAAACTTAAGGGTGAATCCTTGATCAAGGAAAAGAAGGAAGAAATAGAGAAGGGTGTTGGGTTGAGTTTAAATTGTTAATTATAAAATATTTAAAGTTTCTTAATTAAAAGAAAATTGTTGAAGACGAACAGTTAAACTGAATAGCTAAAATAAATTTTAACATCTTTCACGTGCTAGTTTAACCAAAATTTAGAGCTTATCTTGGAGATGGTCTAACATAAACTATTCTTGCAAGGCTCAACTAGGTCACTAAACTCATTACGGATGATTTTTTGGATACCCAGTTACTGTTTCTAGACACTCAAGTTGAGTGTGTGTAGAACCACTCTAGCTACCGCGAGTATTTGCTTCATTCAAACTGGATTGATATATTTTTATTTTGTTGTTGGAAATTTTAAAGACTAACCCAAAACTGTGTACACAGTAACGACCAAAACAAAGGATTCTATAATTCGAACGAGTTTCCAAGGTATGGGGTACATCTCAGCTCTCAGAATCTCACAATTTGATTGGATACTTAGGGTTGGTTTTGATCAAAGATGGTGGCCATAAGAATCAAGGAAGGAACGAGCAAGCTTGATGCCCAAGTGGACTTCAGATAACGTAGTAAGGTGGAGGCCATCTTCTTTGAGACGCAATCCTTTGGCATCGACACATTTCACATTTGGTAACTTGACATCCAGCTGACCTTTCCTTACTACATCTACAAATTTGCCTTCTCCAGATGCCAGTGCCACCTGCAACCACAATAATTCAAACGTTTAGTTACTAGGCACATCGAGTATTTTCATGTGTATTCCTATTAAACCGTTCTTTAGGAACGATTAAAAGCATAATATGATAATTAAAATGCTTTGGACAATGTTTAACATAAAAAATAGTCTCAGTTTTTTTAAATTTTAAATGACTAATTAGTGTAATTTCGCTAACAATTGACACTAGTGAGAAACATTTAAAGTATCGAACTCTGAAAACAAAAATGTATGTATTAACTAAGTAACAAATATTTATATGTTAATATCATGTGCAATAACAGGTATGTTATGAAAAACCCAATTATAATCCCACCTTTTGTTTCATAGGTAGAACCACACTTCTTAAGTATCGCAAGGTTTTTCGACATGCTTAAATCAAAAACACTTTTAGTAAAAGAAAGTCGAAACAAAAGCACTTTCTATGAGAACAAGATTGCTAGTCCATAATGAATTGGGATTACAAACAAAATAAGAGCAGTGCAGCAAACCTGGATGACAGGAAGGTTAGGGAGACGAAGATCAGAACGCAGGTCCAAAACAAGCTTCTCGAATTTCCCTTTATACCCCTCAGCTTCCTCCTTTCTCACGGTATCACTTTCTCCCTGAAACCACAAAAGCGCCCGGATAACTCCTCCTCCCCTGGCCGACTCGCAGGCTCGTCTCACCAACTCACCATACAACCGAGTCCCTTTACTCCACTCGCCAATTCTAGTCCCGCCTACGGCGCAAGGAACCAGACCCACTTCCCCAAATCCCGACCCCTTGGCTCGGAGGACCTCATTGGCAAATGCCATGCCCGGCCCAATCCCACACGTCTTTCCCAGGTCGATGTCGGCGTGGAGCGGCTCGTGTGCTTGCTCCCATATGAGCAGTGCACTAAGCCGGAGGATTGATGGGTTGGGACTGCACTCGGTTGGGACGTTCCCGTCCCACTTGCCGCGGCTGACGCCCCCGCGCCCAGCCATGTTGCTCTGACCTGCTAGGATGAAGATGTTCCTGGCAACGGAAGCAGCCCCATTGAACTGGGTTAATAGTAAAACATAGAGAAACAAAAACCATTTGGACATGCCCATGATTTGATTTTTGCAATGGCCAATGTGGTTTGTTTTTTGTCTCACTTTACTTGGGACTACGAGCAGCAGAGTAATTGTTAATTTCCACTCAGGGCTTCACGCTGTAATTATTACTCGTGGTTGATACTGTGCTTTTCTTTTTTTTTTTGGCATTTAGGGTTTCTATCTACTGCCCAAGGTGGCAGTGGTGGTGAAACTATAGCAGTGGATTTGTTTCTGTAGCATACTGACAATTGGATTATTTTCCATGTTTTATAACATCTATTCCAAGTTGCAAGGAAATTTAGATATAAAACCAAATACTATTTTAGAAAAATGACATGCACAAATGGAATAATTGGTTGTAAATTTTAATCGAATATCAAATTATGGAGTACTAAACAAACAATAAAATAGGCACTAAATTGTTAATATGTATTTAGTGTCAACTGATAAAAATGTTATTCTCATCTCATTTTTCATATCACATTTGTACCATTTTTCTAATAGAGATAAGATACATGTATTGATAGGTCTTACTTTTATTAGACAGGTGATACAAATGTAGTATGAAAAATATGATGAGTATACATAGCATTACTCGTCCACCAATTCTACTTGTGATTAACAATATTTCAAAAAAAAAAAAAAAGTATTTGTTGTTCATAAGGTAATAAGGAGGTTGGTATCCTTGGTTATATCATTGTTCCTCGTCAATTCAGCATTTCCCCAGTAGGCAATATCCTGTTTTTTCCACATTGGTTATATCTTGTAAGAACAATATGTCAAATTGTCCCAACGACATTGCTATTTCCAAGTTTACTCCAACAACCGGTAGGTGGATTCTGACCCAAAGAAGACAAAGCAAAACAATTAGGCTTGGTCTCTAAGATGTCCTAAAACTGCAATAAGAAGAGCTCATTGAACCTTGTTAGGTGAGCTAATAAGCCACTGTTACCAATCCACATACCTGTAATGGAATTTGATGGACAGATACCTAGTATTTGCTGCATAATCTGATTGGATCTAATTAGATTACGCATACCTCACTATGCAATTAGATATCTAGGATACTTCATGCACATAATTAGTTGTTGACTAATAAATAATAAAGGAATCACTGATGCAGAGTCAAAAAGTTATTCTAACCCAACACCGTTGATGAAACAATCCAATAAATCCAATTATAACAATTCTTATACAATTTCTAGTATAATAACATATAGATTTAGAGTTTAGAGTATGAGTTGAAGAAGTCAGAAAAAGAACGATGTTCTATTAAGTGTGATCCTTCTACTAGTGCTAGAGCTAGTTTTTCGAATAGAACGTATATTTTTCATGTGAGCAGGACCCTTCCTATATAGATACAAACTATAACCAATTCCCACCAATCATAAAAAGTTGGTTAGCAACCGTTATATCCACGTTCACAATGTAAATGTGATTAACAATGTTTCCCACCACTCCAACATGTATGTTCTCTAAATAAGGGCCGTGTTTATTTTATCTTCATAATAACTCATTAATTCTACAATACTACGGTCTCGTAGTATTCATCCTTACAACTGAGAGGTTTTAGGTTCGAATCTCGTGGATGACGAATTTGATATCAAATTAGGTTGCCTATTGTGTGACTTAAGTTATCGTTTGGTATGCAGACGGGACGGGACGGAACGGAATGGGACGGGACGGGACAGGACGGAACGGAACGGAGCGGGAGCAAGGATGCACTCGGATGGAAACAAGGAGGAAGAAGAAGGAGATGGATAGGTTACAATTTTGTGTTCCACGGATGTGGAACGAGTCGTTACAGGGGGATGAGGCGGAACGAAAATTCACCTAAAATTCGTCTCGTGGAACAACTCGTTTCACCCGTTTTAGGCGCACCAAACGTGGGATGGAACGCCTTGTCTCACTCTGTTCCGTTTCGTCTCACGTACCAAACGGTACCTAACCGAACTCTCCCTCCTTATAATGTAAAATATATCGTTATACTAAAAAAATGGTTAAGTCCAACTAGAGTTCCAAGTTCCAACATACATGAGAGAGAAACAAACTCTTGGGTCTATTTAAATTCGGATTGAATTTAATTGGGTATTTGGACATATGGGCTGTGTTCTTGTCAATCTCAAAGCTGGTCCTTGAGCAGACTCAGAGCAGGGAAAGGAGATCATCTAGGCTCCCAATCGACTCGGTTTAATGAATCGTTGGGCCTTTTGGATTTGAGTTCTTCATACTTTTTCGTCGTGATCGATGAATTCTTACAATTCTAATGCTTGAAGCACAAGGGTCCTAAAACCGTATCAATTAGGATAGTAGCTTGGCCATTACTCTAAATACATTTGGATTTGTGAACACTGAATAAAGGAAGTAACAAATTAGCTAGCTCGTGGTGAGAACTTTCAATACCAAATAAAGTAGAAAATGGAAAATATAATTAGGATATGTTACTGGAGCATGACTTATGGCGCTGGGCAGGAATTGAAGATATGCATCAGCCAACATTTTCCCAAGTTGAACCTGGGCAGGGGTGGTGAGGTGTAAGCCATCAGGTTCCAACGGAAGACCTTTCGCGTCGACGGTTCTCACGTTTAGAAAGTCGACTCCCAGCTGGGCTTCTCTCACTATCTCTATCAGACTTGCTTCTTCCCCAGATGCTAGAGCCACCTATATGTATAACCAAAACACATCACACACTGTTCATTTTAGACTTGCAGATCAACCAATATCATCCAACTAATTAGTCCATCAGTAGATATATAAGTAATATGTTATTTGACTAGAGATTCTTTCTGTAAGACGTACGTTCTTTTTTAAGAAGTAAAGAGATTGAACACATTGCATTTCAATTCATTAAGTCAATTATCAAACGACATTATTAATTAGATAGTTTTTGTTTTCATATATATTAGGGTAGGACCTCGAGATGAAAAGAAACAATTTGCCCATCAATTCCTTGTCTCCATTCCAACTCTGAGCTTAGATGTGAAATGAAATCCCTTGATTTAGAAATTTTACTATTTCAATTAAGAAATGCCAAGTTGCACTAGGTTTTCATAGGAATCGTCCAAACTTGTAAATAAATTAGTTAACGGTGATACCGACTTCAACAACTTGTTACATTTTATAAATATCTAAACCTGGCTAACAACGTTACATCATATAGGAATTAGGAAATACTGCTTTTGCTTAATTTGGATTAACAAGATCAAGGCCTAAAGCTAAGGCAAAGAGCTAAAGAGCTAAAAGAATGAAGTTAAGTTTTAACGTAAGTGTGGTTATCGAAAAATTTAATAATATGGGGTTTGGCGTGACACTCTTCTGCCAGCAATTTGTTTTTAACATTCAGATTTTCTTGACTTGACTATGCATTCTGATTCACATGTTTGTCCTTCATCATGATGTGTGTTTTTTCTTTATTTCCTAATCTATGCTATTGGTGCTTTGCAACTTGTTTTGAAGTTTAGACCTAATAGATTTTTCTTTAGAGAGGTTCTCTCCTCGTATTTTTATTTATTTTCTTAAGAGGGATTTAAGTCCCCATCTTTTCTTGAATTTCATTTTATTATTTTTTTGTGAGGGCCAATGTTAATATCCTTGACTGGGTATAACTTCATTTTTCTGATTCAATAAAAGTTTTCTAGTTAAGGTTTTCTGGAAGAAAAAAAAAGTACCAATGTAAATGTAAGTTACGCTAGTTAATTAGTTAGGGAAGTGTGTTCATTCTCTTATATTCAAATACCACTATGAGTAGTTTATCTTTAGTACTAAATGTTATTAACAATACTAAACAAAAACTGAGTAATTAATTAACAATACTAAATGTCATTTAGTACTACGTTATAGTGGCATTCCTTTTTACTTGTCAATCAGATAACTTAAGTTTGATTTTCGACAAAAACGAATTCGAAGCTCATAGTTGATTCATTATAAGGCTTACTCTCCCGACTTATAGTGTAAATACTACCGTTCTTCCCAAAAAAAAAAAAAAAAAAAAAAAAAAAAACTAAATAATCGTACCTGGATTATTGGGAGATCAGGAGATTGCAGATCCAAACGTACATCCCCCAAAAAAGTTTCCAATCTGTTTTTGTAAGACCGGGCGTCTTCTCTACGAGCTGTATCGCTCTCGCCCTGATACCACAGAAGTGCTCTGATCGAACCACCATTCTGCAACGAAACCTTGGCCCTCCCGATCATCTGGTTGTACAGAAAAGAGCCTCGTGCCCACTGGGTTATGTTAGTCCCACCGATCGCACAAGGGACTAACCCAATCCGGCCAACCGTACTAGAGTGATTGGCCAAAACCGCATGGGCAAAAGCCATACCGGGTCCAATCCCATTGGTCTTCCCTACGTCGATGTCGGCGTGGAGAGGCTCGCGTGCTTTAACCCACCTGAGATTTGCGTCGAGCCGGAAGACTGACGGGTTGGGGCGGCACTTTGGCGGCACGACAGCGTCCCAGGTGACGATGCCTGTGGTGGTGTCGTTAACCACACCACCTCGACCTGCCATGTTGCTCTGTCCGGCCAGGATGAATATGCTTTTGACATGTTGATCTGTATTTTGGTTTGGTTGTTGGGCAGTTGTCGGTGCCGAGCAGGCTTGAGCCACAAGGGACAAGACCAACACGAAAAGCAGCATTGTGGGACAGGAAATTGTGGGTTCTCCTTTCGCTTAAGTTTGAAGGCATTTTGAGAGCAAAGAGTCTTGCTTTTTAAATTTTTTTTTATGTCCAATGATTCTTCAGTTGAGGAAGGTATCTTACCCTAAACTCATATTTAACTTTCTCTCAAATCATCATTTGGGATTTGGAAATATTTAGCTGAAGATCTAAATCGTCAAATAATTGTCAGATAATGCCTATCAGAACCTTGGTTGACTAAGCTAATGGTCATTAAATTAAGGAAATTTAAAGTAACAAAAGAAAATACAGAATTTTCATTCGTGAGATTTGTATTGGGATATCTGCTCGCTCCCAAATTTGAGTACAAACAGTGTCTAAGCCTAAATTTGACAATTGCAAATTGGATCAATCAAATATCGTAAGGGAATAATGCGTTATGTACGCAATATAAATGACCTATCATGCTTCAATAAATGATAGTGTTACTTACCACCAAAACAAACATGGACAAGTATGGTAGAGCAAATGTTAGACATTGAACCACGTTTTATCCAACGGCCGGCCATAAGCATGCTACTTTTTGAATCCTTTTGAGCTTTCCGCGACGTTGTCCTTTTTGAGCGTGAAAATGTATGTATCTTTTCTCTTTATAGGGTTGGGGAAGGGCGATGTGCATAGGGATGACAATTTAACTCGTCAAATCCGATCCCTGCAAGTAACCGATTCAAATGGTTCGATTTCAGGCATAAAATTCTGGGTATACGGTTATGGATAACCATCGGGTAAATTTTTCGGTTTCAGATTATAATTTTCAAGAGTGTAAATGTTTTCTTAGTAATATAATTTTTTAATATTACTTATTAGATGCATTGTATTAATAATAGCAATTTATTTAATATTGTCTTTTTTTTTAATATTCTTCATTTAGTTAATAATATAAATAAATATATAAATATCATAATGGGGAAAACCGTTCCTCGATCAAAAGTCCGTCACCCAATGGGTTCGGTTATGGGGAAAATCCATTCGGGGATTCTACGGATTTGGATTTGGAGAAAATAAACAAGTTTGGGTATAGAGATGACACATCCAAACCCAATCCGCCCCGGTGCCATCCCTAGCTGTGCATGTGCTCCATCGTTCCTGAATTGCGTGTTTTTTTTTTTTTTTTGCTTGAAGGCTTTTCTTAAAGCATTTGATTGCGTATTTTTTCATAACGAGATATTTTTGTTGTAGATTTCTAATTTTTTTCGAGAGATCCAGAGGGTTTTCTAATAGACTTACTCTGATTAATCATGATAGCATTTTTTTGTTAGAAATTAACCCCGATCGCTAAAACCCGACAATCTTCCCCTCTTTTCAGAGTCTATATGATCCTAGGTTCCTCGATTGATTTCTTATTTTTTTAACTATTGTTCGAGTAATGTTATTAGACAACAAAAACATGAAACAATCACTAACAAAATCCCTATTACAAGTCCCGCATTACTGCACCTTGGTTCGACTGGACCAAACTCTATGTGGACTCAAGTCTACAAAGGCTTACATATCTGAGTGAACAAGGCAAGCCCACAAAATCCAAGGTTTAAAAAGAAGTGGGATATCCGCCAATTGGACGCGACATCTGTGTCTGAAAACAGTGGAAAGGAAGCTCAGGCTGCATGGGAAAACTTGGTTTTGAAACCAATTTGACCATCGTGGGCAACTTCTTGAAGAAAAATGGTCAAAATTTTATCAGAACTCCACATTTCATGTCACATTTACGCTCGAGAGTAAGATTTTTTCCCTTCCATTCCCCTTTTTTTCTAGTCCTCTCCTCTCTCTCTTTTTTCTTCTTCTTTCTCTCTCTAAAAGAAGGCAACATAAGATATTGACGTGACTTAATCGTGAACGTTCAAATAAGAGGAGACAGAAAAGAAAGAAAAATGCCAAAATGGGAGGGAAAAGATCCGGATCCGCAGGCCCTGGCCCTTTATACAATAAAGCTTTCTATGATCAATGCAATGATAATGTTCCTTCTTTATTTTTGTCAAATTCAAATAAATATTAAGTACTTATACCAAAACACACATTACTTGGCTTCTTAGCTAAAAAAAAGTTTACGCATTCATGTCAAATTGCAAATTGTTGGTAAAAAAATTAACTCCTTAATTTAGAGCATATCCATCAATGATGTATAAATCTGACCTTTGAATTGCACAAAAATTATTCATAGACTCATAATTGGCCATTTTAATAATATCACTCCGACAATACTCTAAATCTATTTCAAAATTTTACTTATTTTATAATGAGATCAAACCATTTGGATAACTGTTCACAAAATGAGATCTGGCTATGCCTTTGGAGTAGTCTTTCCGGTGTGTTTGAGTCAAGTTTTTCATAAACGTCGTCCGCTAATATGTTTGAGATGCTCTTTTAACTCTAAATATGTCTGTACTATGTCGTGTCCATAATCTCATGCTACTATGGTCTGGGTCCCTTATATATCAACTTGTCTTTCAGTTGGACCAGTTCAGCAATACCCGTACCTAGATTGCATATTCCATGTTGCAACTATCGCTTATCAAAGACTCTTCTTTTGTTGACAATCGTCTGTTCTTCCTCGTGATCGGAATTGTTTAATTTGTACGTTATGGTTCAAAAAGTTGTACGTGCCAAAAATGGGTCGACTAATCCATGAATATTTAGCCATTTGATTCAATTTTATGTGTTGATATATTTATACAATTTGCATGACTAAACAGTTGCAAGTTTGGATTATCTTACTAGTTGTTTAATGTGCAGATCGAGAGGAGAGGAGAGGAGATCAGGGTGCAGGGAGCCGGAATGTCGCCTTGATACAGCTTATGAGAAAGAAAGGACTGGCTGCAGCACTGCCACATTTGTCCCACAGACATACATATTAAACCCATTGGGAGAAGGTATTGCTTGTAAAGAATCCGAAGTGTGTACATCTATAGTAAGTTGTTGCAAAAAGCCATGCTATGCTATCCACTAGTGTGCCCACGTCTTGGGATAATTCTTCGATCCGCCATATTCTCTAATATCTTCTTTTGCTTTTTAAATTATTTTCTTTTTTCAATACAAGTAATAAAGTGTCATTTAGTATTATGATCTAGTGGTATTTTTCTTCACTTGTAAGTGAGAGATCTTATGTTTGATTATCGTCAAACGAGACGTTGAACCACATTATTCTGGCAGATCCATTGTGAGGCCTAGCCCATTCCCCCATCCCTTAATATAAATACTATCATTTGTTCAAAAAAAAAACAAAAATACAAGCGATAAAGTAAACTCAAAACTTTAGATACAGGACAAGTGTAAAAATTCTTAACAAACTAAGCCACATGCTTCTATTTTCCAATAAAAACACAAATTAATTTTCCCTTTAACAAAAGCCCTAGTATCAAAAAAAAAATAAAAATTCTACTTCTGTTATAAATAAATTATTAGCATTATTCAATTTTGGATTCTCAATATAATGATAACACTGAACGTCTTATTATATATATAATGAAGGAAAACCAAAACGAATAGGAAGGATCATATCCAAATAGGAAAAAATTTAGTCAATATCATAGAAGATTAGGTGAGAAAAATTACATATCAAGATTCGAACTGCGACTGACGAAGCAGTCTACTCTTTTTCCCGCTTAGAGCAACTATGACATGAGCTAAGAAAACTCAATTACTAAATAACAAAGTAAAACACATCCTAAAATATTTAAGGTTGTACTATAATTGTACTTAATGACACAAAACATAATTATTACTATAACAAATAGAAATGTATTTGATAAAACAAAATAAAAAATAAAAAGGCAAAACCCGTTGGCATTGCAAGTTGCAGTATTTTAGTGGCTTCAAGATTAATTAGGCGCCCATTAGCACCTTGGGCAGGTGATGACTTGACCATTACCTTCCCGTTTCCGTATTTAATCACGTGGTGGACGTGGGCGTGGGCGGGCGTGGGCGGGCGTGTCATGTGTGGGGCTGCGTACCTCACGTGAGGTACACTCGTGTGGCAGTGGAAGTCGCGTGAGGAGTACGGCTAAAGGACAGTCTTAGGTGGGAAGGCGGGTGCGGGTGCGGGTGCGGGTTGGCACATGAGAGAGTGTGGGTAACAGCGTGCCTACGTGTATTTGTTTATTTGACAGCTGTTTCCCGCGTAACGAAATTTGCATCTTGGCTAAGGTAGAGAAACCGTCGAAGATAGGGGAATAGTCACTAACCGGTTTTTGTTGCTTTCCTCTCTCCTTTTCCCTTTTTTTTTCTGTTTCCCCCTTCCTTTTCCATCCTCACGCTCTTGTCTTGCTAATACCTCACACACCTCTTCTCATAAGTTATAAATCACTGTCATAATTTGACAAGTTCGTTTAATTACACGTCGTGTTCAATTAATCTGACACAAGAATTAGAATAGTTTCTGTTTGAATCCAAAATTACACAATCAGCCCGAGCGATCGATGTCGTTAAGTGAGTGAAGTTCTAACCGTTAGATGATCTAATCAGGATCATTTTTTGTTATTATTAGGGAATAATATTGTGATTTTTTTAGTCATGATAATATCCCTTAATAATATGTTAAATTATTCTGACTTGGTTTGATCTTAAAATCTAGCTGGTTTGATTTGTATTCCAAGGCCTTACAAATTTTCTTCCATGCGTGATGCATATGCGTGTGAGTGAGGGACTTTACATGCAATTCGTGTTTGCGTCGAGTGATCAGCACAAAGACATTTAAAGGGATTAGCATGTTCTGCATGGATGAAGTTGGAACTTGACCAAGCAAAGAGTTGGTGATGATGATCATCGAAAAGTGGTAATCATGGTGCCATCTGAAATGAGGTATAAGTTGAAATGGACATGGTCTCTCTTAGGGCATGCGAAAGATAGAGGTGGAAAGAATAAAATAATATTCTTTTGTTTTCCTATATGGTCAAAACAACAATATACATTGAATGTTACCAATAATCTAGGCAAAACAAGATTGCATCAGAATAAATCTTTGAAAGCCGAATCTGATGAAAGGTTAAGTTCTCAAGATGACAGCAGGTTTTGATTGATGT